CCAACACAATTCCTTCTTCTACCATAAAATGGCATTTCTCCTAATTGAGAACCAAGTTTGTGTTTTCGCATCGGGCCAACACACGATCCAAGTTGTGCAAGCAATCACCAAATGAGTCCCTAACCACACTAAAATCATCCATGAAGACCTCCGATATGTCCTCCACCATGTCGGTGAAGATTGCCATCATATATCGTTGGAAGGTCGCCGGTGCATTACATAATCCAAATGGCATTCGAGAGAAGGCGAATGTGCCATAAGGACATGTGAAGGTTGTCTTTTCTTGGTCTTCCGGGGCAATGAGAATTTGGTTATAGCCTGAATACCCATCCAAAAAACAATAGAAAGCCCGACCCGCAAGACGATCAAGCATTTGGTCCAAGAACGGCAATGGGAAATGATCCTTTCTAGTCACCCTGTTCAACTTCCGGTAGTCCATGCATACCTTCCAACCCGTCACAGTACGAGTCGGAATAAGTTCATTGTTTTCATTGGTCACCACCGTCATTCCTCCCTTCTTTGGCACACATTATACCAGAGAAGTTCACGAACTGTCAGAAATTGGATACACCACGNGCCTTGAATGATTGGGTCTCTGACAATCTTAGGCGCGGACCGCGTAAAAAGGGGCGCGGACCGCGCATCTTGACTAAAAAAATGGCATGGCCTCTGAACTTTCCTGCGCGGCCGCGTGGCAAAACAGTGCGGACCGCGCAGGTTGACCTTGAAAATGACCAGCCTCTGAACTCTCCTGTGCGGCCGCGTGACAAAACAGTGCGGACCGCACAAGTCATTTTGTTCCCCCTTTTAGTTGTCTTTTGACACTTGGCAGATTTCACTCCTTTTTGAGCCGATCTTTGGTATTTGTCATCTTGTCGTTCAAACCTGCAATCAAGCGCAACTTGTAAGCATTTTGGGACAAATTTATAGCAGTTAATGCACAAAGCTTAGGTAAGAATGGGTATAAAACATGTAAAAATCACAGTTATCAATGGGCTGCCCAAACATGGAAGGCTGCTCATGGCCTCAACGTATACGACATGAATGGAGTTCAATTCCTTTTTGAATTCCCCTCAAGGAAATTGGCGGAACACGTTTTGGTGGGTTGCTGGCAAAGACAGAATAGCAAACTCAGGCTGGAATGGTAGAGTCCAACGGCGGGGTGCTTCCCAACTGTGAGAAGGCACGGGAGAAAATATGATATATTGATATTGTGTGTTCAATACAATACAAAGGTCCTTATTTATGACTATACTATACAAGGACATACTACTCCTATTCTAATGTGAGACAAGATTACATTATGTACATATCTAACACTCCCCCTCAAGCTGGTGCATACACATCATATGTACCGAGCTTGTTACACATGTAACTAATACGAGAATCAGTAAGAACTTAGTGAAAATATCTGCTTCTGATCATTCGACTTTACAAACTTTGTAACAATATCTCCTAAAAGTATTTTTTCTCTGACAAAGTGACAGTCGATCTCAATGTGTTTAGTCCTCTCATGGAACATCGGATTTGACGCAATATGAAGAGCAGCTTGGTTATCACACACTAGTTCCATCCTGCTGATTTTTCTGAACTTTAACTCCTTGAGCAACTGCTTGACCCGAACTAACTCACACGTTGCCATAGCCATGGCCCGATATTCCGCTTCGGTGCTAGATCGAGCAACTACATTTTGTTTCTTGCTCTTCCACGAGAATCAACTTACCTCCTACTAGAACACAATATCCAGATGTAGATCGTCTATCAGAAGGTGATCCTGCCCAATCAGCATCTGTGTACCCAACAATCTACTCGTGGCCTCGATCCTCGAATAGTAATCCTTTGGTTGGAGCTGCATTTATATACCGAAGAATACGAACAACTGCATCCCAGTGACTATCACAGGGAGAATCCATAAACTGACTTACAACACTCATCGGAAAAGAAATGACAGATCTAGTAACTGTGAGGTAATTCAATTTTCCAACCAACCTCCTATATCTCGTAGGGTCTCTAAGAGACTCCCCTGTCCAGGCAGAAGCCTAGCATTCGGATCCATAGGAGAGTCAATAGGTCTGCAACCCATCATTCCAGTCTCCTCAAGAATGTCTAAGGCATACTTCCGCTGTGAAATAACAATACCTGAGCTAGACTGAGCGACCTCAATACCTAGAAAATACTTCAATCTGCCCAGATCCTTAGTCTGGAAGTGCTGAAAGAGATGTTCCTTCAGATTAGTAATACCATCCTGATCATTACCAGTAATAACAATATCATCAACATAAACCACTAGATAAATACACAGATTAGGAGCAGAATGCCGATAAAACACAGAGTGATCAGCCTCACTACGAGTCATGCCGAACTCCTGAATAATTGTGCTGAACTTACCAAACCAAGCTCGAGGGGACTGTTTCAAACCATATAGTGACTTGCGCAATCTGCACACACAACCATTAAACTCCCCCTGAGCAACAAAACCAGGTGGTTGCTCCATATAAACTTCTTCCTCAAGATCACCGTGGAGAAAAGCATTCTTAATGTCTAACTGATAAAGAGGCCAATGACGTACAACAACCATGGACAAAAAAAGACGAACAGATGCTACTTTAGCCACGGGAGAGAAAGTATCACTATAATCAAGCCCAAAAATTTGAGTATATCCTTTTGCAACAAGACAAGCCTTAAGCCGATCAACCTGACCATTCGGGCCGACTTTGACTGCTTAAACCTAACGACAACCAACAGTAGACTTACCTGCAGGAAGAGGAACAAGCTCCCAAGTGCCACTCGCATGTAAAGCAGACATCTCGTCAATCATAGTCTGTCGCCATATAGGATGAGATAGTGTCTCACCTGTAGACTTAGGAGTAGAAACAGTGGACAAAGAAGATATAAAAGCATAATGAGGTGACAACAGACACTGATAACTTAGACCAACATAGTGGGGATTAGGATTAAGTGTGGACCGTACACCTTTGCGGAGTGCAATTGGTTGACTAAGAGGAGACAAGTCCGCAGTAGGTGCAGAATCTGATGCAGGACGTGAATCACCTAGGCATGATGCTGGATGTGGACGGCGATGATAAGTCAAGAGTGGCGGAGCTGCAGAAGTTTGAATTGGATTATGTGGAGGAATTGGACCTATAGGTGGTGGAACTGGAGCTATAGATGGTGGAACGGGAGCTATAGGTGGTGGAGCTGGAGATGTAGAGGAAGATGGATGGGAGATAGTGACTGAATCTCCAAAAGAAGAGACTGGTAGTACCTCAGAAATATCTAAGTGATTACCTGGACCTGTGAAATATGATTGGGTTTCAAAGAAGGTAACATCAGCGGACATAAGGTACTGCTGGAGGTCAGGAGAATAGAATCGATACCCCTTTTGCGTTCTCGAGAAACCAAGAAATACGTACTTAAGAGAACGGGGAGCTAACTTATCTGTTCCTGGAGTAAGGTTATGGACAAAACAAGTGCTTCCAAAGACACGGGGTGGAAGAGAGAATAAAGGTAAGTGGGGAAACATAACAGAGAATGGAACTTGGTTCTGGATAGCTGAAGATAGCATACGATTAATAAGATAGCAAGATATAAGAACTGCATCCCCCAAAAAACGCAGCGGAGCATGAGATTGTATGAGTAGGGTACGAGCAGTTTCAATAAGATGTCTATTCTTTCTTTCAGCTACCCCATTTTGTTGAGATGTGTATGGGCAAGATGTTTGATGAATAATCCCATGAGATTTCATAAACTGTTAAAATGGGAAAGACAAATACTCTCGGACATTATCACTATGAAATGTGTGAATAGAAACCCCAAATTGATTTTGAATTTCAGCGTGAAAGGTCTGGAAAATAGAAAACAACTCGATCGATTTTTTATTAAAAATATCCAGGTGCACCTAGAATAGTCATTAATGAAACTAACAAAGTAGCGAAATCCTAAGGTAGAACTGACCCGACTAGGACCCCAAACATATGAATGGAGTAAAGTAAAAGGTGACTCTGCTTGATTATCAATACGTCGAGGAAAATGAGAGCGAGTATGCTTACCGAGCTGACAAGACTCACACTCTAGAGCTGACAAGTGAGATAAACCAGGTACCATTTTCTGAAGTTTTGATAAACTAGGATGTCCTAACCGTTTATGTAATAAATCCGGTGAATCAGTAACATGACAAGTTGTTGAAGGAAGACAAGATGTGAGTCCATGTGATTTAGCAAGGATAAGGTAATAAAGTCCATTTGATTCACGCCCGGTACCAATGATCCGCCTTGTACTGCGTTCCTGTATAAAAACATGGTCATCAAGAAATAAAACAACACATTTAAGTTATTTAGCTAGGCGACTAACAACTATGAGATTAAAAGGACTATTAGGGACATATAGAACTGAATCTAAAGGTAAGGAAGGAATTGGGCTTGCTTGACCTATTGCAATTGTCATGGTTTGAGACCCATTGGCCATTGTGACTCTTGGAAAAGATTGAGAATACGAAATAGTAATGAAAAGAGATTTGTTACCAGAAATATGATTCGATGCACCTGAATCAATGATCCAAGACTCAGAGGATGAAGATTGAGAGACACAAGTCACGCTATTACCTCTTTGAACAACGGAAGCTCTCTCTGAAGATGTCTGCTTACCTGCTTTGTACTGAAGAAACTCAAAATAATCCACTAAAGAAACCATCCGACTATTCAAAGTATCGATTCCCATGTCGCTACAATTAATAGTAGTAGGCTAAGTTGCTCGGACACGGATGCGAGTGTTCGACACGGGTGCGGTTCTTGAGGTCGGATCCTTCGAGATGTAAATTCTAAGATTCGGAGATACGGATCCTAGTACGGATACGGGTGCGGAGATCCGGCTAAAAATAATTCAAAAAAAAACAAAAACATCTCTAAATTATGCGCAACTTCTGGTGTGCCGCAAAACAAAACCACTTGCATTCTGCTCATGGAAAATCATGACTCATGGAAACTCATCGTAAAATTGGTTGAGGACGGGTGCAGTTCTAGAGGTCGGATCCTTCGAGATGTAAATTCTAAGATTCGGAGATACGGATCCTAGTACGGATACGTGTGCGGAGATTTAGCTAAAAATAATTCAAAAAAATAAAAATGTCTCTAAATTATGAGAGATTTTGTGGAATACTTAAGTATAGCTTGTAAAGTGCGGATTTCTTTTTTATTCTCAAGTTGTAGATAAGTAATTGATTGATTTCCTAAATATAAGGTATGCTATTTTCTTAATTTACCCTAGTTTTGGTTCTGATTTCGGGAATCAAATTGTATCTCGTCTCGAATTTTGTCGTCCATCGTGGTGAAAGTACCCAAAATTGTTTGACTAGATCCGATACGGATCCCATACCCACACCCATACAAGAGTCGTGTCGACACGGGTGCGGCACCTAAATTTTCATGTTGGAGCAACTTAGGTAGTAGGGTTAACTTGAAATAGTGAAAATTAGTAACTCCTTTGGGAAAACTGAAGAAATCGCTGAGAAAACACTGTTTACAGCAGGAAAACAGAACACTGTTCTGCGCTGGAAAACACTGTTCACTCCAGAAATATTGTAGCTCTCGGAATATTACTGTAGCAACCGGAAAAAATTCAAAGTGGTCGGAATAAAAAAAAAACAGTAGGGGTAGGATCGGAATTACCAGACGACCCAACTGTTCTGGAGAAACTTTTTCAAAAAAATTGCCGGAAGTCCACTTTTGAAATCATTGTTCACGCCGGAAAAAAAGTGGTCAGAATTTGGTGTAAACTGGATGGGTAGGCTCGGAATTGCAAGGGGAACAATCTGTCCTGAAGAATCGTCGCTAAAAAATGGCCGCAAGGTGGCCCACGCAACGTCAGAACTTCGCCGGAAAATTTTCTTCCGACCGCTACACTACCGCCGGGGATTTTCACTGGGGTTTGGTCGCGAAACAGTGACTACTCTTGTGGTAGTGTTGGATTTTTCACATCACTAACCGAGACAAAGCAGACGCAAAACAACTTTTAAAAGTAACCTGAAAAAAAAGGGTTCGGGTGACTGATTTCACTTCCCGGAATCGCTGGAATTTATGCACAGCGATAAATCTATCACGATAGCTCTGATACCATGTGAGAAGGCACGGGAGAAAATATGATATATTGATATTGTGTGTTCAATACAATACAAGCGATTCTTATTTATAGCTATACTATACACGAACATACTACTCCTATTCCAATGTGGGACAAGACTACGTTATGTACATATCTAACGCCAACGACAAAAAATTCGACTGGACTTGGATTAGAGTTCTGGGCCTCTCTCTAAACTTTGGAACAAGAAGGTGATGAAAATAATCGGTGACAAATGCGGAGGATGGTTGGAAACAGAAGAGGAAATTGATCTCAGAAACCACCTGAGATGGGCTCGTTTAAAAGTTAAAGGGCCTCCAAAATTAATCCCTGCTAGGTTTGAGATTGAATACGATGGTTTGATTTTCACAATCCCGGTATGGAGTGAAACTCCGGTGTACTTCCGGCGATTGGAGGAAGTAGATAGTTGGTATGGGGTGGGGGTGATTAGTAGGGTAGAGGAGAAGGACTGCGATGGGACAGAAGTGGGTGGGGGAACAGTCGAGGTTAATGCGTCGTATAATCCAGTGGTTATAAGGGGTAGTGGTTCTTTAGGGGTAATCAATGGAGTTAAGGGAGTTTTTAAAAAATAATGGGCGGGGACGGGTAGAAGGTGAAGTAAAGGGGCTTTGTCAGGTTGAGGATAATGGGCCCAACTCTGTAAGCAGCCCAGGTTTTGGTTGTTATAATAAAGGGGAGGTGAGTCACTTACGTGAGAAGCATGTGGGTGTGAAGAATCCAGTTGGGCCACTCTTTGGGCCAAAAGAAAATCCAACCAAGGAAGCTGAAAAAGGTTTTCTTAAGCCCAATCAAAACACCACAAGTAAAGAGTCTGAAGGCCTTTATCTAAACACGGTGGGAGGAAATATCGAAGCTCTCCTTGCTCAGATAAAATCCATGGTGGCAGAATCAATTCGTGAAGAACAACAGAAAATGGAAGACTGTATCTTGGCTCAGGAGCAACTTCTTCTCTCTCTCAAACAATCTACCCTCAACAAATCATCAACCTCAGAGAGAGAGGATTATGAAGGACCAATTGGGGAAAATCTGGGCTCTCATCTTCCTCTCATCAATTACTGTCAAGGTGAACCAGAGGATGAGGATGCCCAAACAGTCTTTGTAGACTGCCCCTCTGATAGCGAAGGCTTTTCTGATGAACCAGGCATGCAATTGGTTCAACATCACCAGATTGTTATTGCAGAATCAATTGAGGAGCATCCTCATAACTGTGACCTAGATGTCCCTGCATGGATCAAAAGAAACATTGGAAAGATGAGCAAAACATATGGTGTGAGCTTTGAAGGATGCGAATGGGAAGCTATGGCTCTTTTTTTGAAGTAGACAGTAGGAAAAAGAAGATGAAGGCAATGATGCGATCAAAGAACAAAAGCACAAGGGGTTTCAACAAAATTAAAGGGAGTTTATGAAAGGAAGAACCTGAAGGTTGGAGTGAAATACAAAGACGGAATCCCAAGGAACAGAGGGAGGCAACTTCTCATTAAAAGTTAATGAAGATACATATAATTTCCTAGA